CAGTCTGAGCAGCAGCAGCAGCAGCAGCAGCAGCAGCAGCAGCAGTCGTCCTACAGTCCTGGAGCGGCAGAGATCATCAGGGATTAGACTGCAGCCGTAATCACTCTGTGGACTCGACCGCGGTCACTCAGGCAGCTGCCGCAGCTCAGTCTACATTTGCTGTGTGAATTCCAATCCCCAGTGACTCCAGGTAATAAACGCTCAGTCTGAGAGGTCGGATTATTGTATTGTACTTCAAAATGAAGGAGACGGTGAACTAGACAGTGTTTACCTCCACGGCTGGGACTCATTCCCCATTTTCTATTTCCATAAGTGTCAGAAATCTAGGTCACAGCAGAGCAGCTGAATTTTCAGATCTGTGCAGCGTTAGTGTTCGGTCACAGGAAGTTGTACTGACAAGCGCTGAGCGTTAAGAACACGATGGAGCTGTGACGTCGGCTCAGTCACCCCTGGTCAGGGTGTCTGCAGGAGGGCAGAGAATTAAAGAAAGAATTAAAGAAGAAGAAGAAGAATCCTGGATGAGAGGAGGGTTACCTTGTCTGCACTGCTTTTATTATTCATACATTCAAAATCAGGGTTTCTCAAATAACGGTTCTTGGACCAAAGGTCGACGCAGGGTTAAGGGTCATGTACCCTTAACCCTGCATCGACCTTTGGTCCAAGAACCGTTATAGAAAGCTAAAACACACACACATGTATTTTTTTTTTTTTTTTTTTTGGTCAAATGTGATGTTGTCGTTGTTGTTTGGTCACTACGTCCTTGTGGAGACTTCTCCCAGATTAGAGTCAGGGTGCGGGATTATGGATTAGGGAATTAATTATGTCTACGTGCAGTACTCACAACTCATGAAAACCAGACTGTGTGTGTGTGTGTGTGTGTGTCTGTGTGTGTCTGCGTGTGTGTGTGTGAACCCTACATCCAAACAAGTCATGACTCTGCCTTTCCTTGTGACTTGCAGTTTCCACCTGTGACCACCAGAGGGCGACAGCGTATTACAGGTAAATACCATCTCCCCTGACAGTTGATTCATTTCAAAGTTGTTTCGAAGCTGAATCTGGATATTCTCCCCCCCCTCCCCCCGTCCTAATCCCCGTCCCCCCTCGCGGTGACAGAGACAGACATCTCTGTCAATATTTGAAATGAATGAAGGTGAAGAATTCAATCAGTCTAACAAAGACAGACACACACACACACACACCGAGTTAATGGGATATGGATTGGCTCAGAACTTAAAAATTCTCATCGGCGACATCCGCCTCTTCAGCGCCACATCCCGGGTTCCTCTGCCCCCTGGTGTCCGGTCTGACCCAGTCATGCAGACAGATGTGGGTGCAGAGGAACACAGGCTGCAGAGTGTGTGTGTGTGTGTGTGTGTGTGTGTGTTCAAGCTGTGGCTGCAGAGAAATGCCAGGCCATTAAAATGCTGTGCTGTAGCCGTGACACGCACCGGGTTATTGATCCAGACAACAGGGTTTCTCTGTAAGTGAACTTGGACTGATGGCCAGGATCAACACAACCTGCACCAAACACTCGACCTGGTCATTTCTACTTTTTTTTTTTTTTTTTTTTTGAACACAAAAATGCTTTCACTTAAGTGAGCTGCCCACAGAGAGAGAGAGAGAGTGGGAGGAGGAGGGGGGGGTGACTGAGTGTAAGAGTCAAAATAACTACAACGGTGATAATGGAGCTCAAGAAAACCCTCATTATTCTCTCTCTGCTCCGTCACAACATGCGATTATAGCGTTGTCTGTACACTAGAGGGAGCTGTTGACACAGTAACCGGCGTTTGTTCGGCGGTGGCGGGGAGTAGATCCTTCTATTCTGGGCATGTTTAAATTTGGAGAGGAGTGGTGGCTGCTGCAGCTCATCATCATCATCATCATCATCTCAGGTTGCACTGGAGCTGTTTTGAAAAATGAGGGAATGTGATGTTTTATTTCGGTCAGGTCTCTACATTGACCTAAATTCGTTCCTACAATATAAACAAGAACACTGTCTCCAGCCATAACCAGAGCAGCCTCCAGTCAGACTCCTAACCTATAACTACTGCTTCCATTTCCACCCAGATTCGTGTCCAGAGTCTCAGCGGCGCTGGAGAGTCAGCTGTCAGCCCGCATCTTCAGGATGAAGGACACTTTTTTTTTGTTGAAGAGCTCCATGTTCTTGCCATCAGTGATGACAGATGGTTTGTGAGAGAAGAGAAAAAAAAGGAAAAAAAAAACCATCAACTTCAACCTGCAGGATCCATGACTGCACAGAAGAGGGAGCTAAAGAAACCTCTGCCAGTTTCAACCCACTCTGTTCTCCATGGATGATGTAAGCATAAATATCCACACAAGAAAACATAACAGACTTTGCTTGAGCAGTAGGTTCTAAACTGGGGGAGCGAGGCCCCCTAATGGACCTGGCGTTGTTGTCAACGTCTGGGCAGATGGGTTCCCACTAAAAGTTTGGGAACCACGAGGCTAGAGGAGGTTTCTTTGAATGCTTAAAACGTCATTACAAATGTAATGCAACATACATTTAAATATATTCTTATCTATGGGTGAAAAGAAAAAAAAAATTTGTCTAAAAATGCACCCTTTAAGGAAATTTTAAAAAACCCTAAAGTAATATATTTATCTAATAAGTTGACAGTACTTGACGTAGTATTAGTATTAGAGGTAATAGTACCAGGTAACAGAGTTTTTCTAGGTCTGTGTGTGGTAGCCATGGATGTTGACAGCGTTTGATTGACAGATGGTGGCACATGTGCATGCTCTTCCTCCTCCTCTTCCTCCTTCTCCTGCTCTTCCTCCTCCTCCTCCTCCTCCTCCTCCTCCTCCTCTTCCTCCTCCTACTCCTTTTGCTGCAGGTCAGATATTTATAGAATATTTCCCTGAACCTCAGTATTTTCCCTCAGACTCGGAGGTTATTTATTTCTTTTTTCTGTCCAGATGATTTCAAACTGCCTTGATAATTATCCAGGTCTGGACTGTGTGAAGACTGAACCCCAAATATTTCTCACGTTGATTCACGACTTACGTCACAACCATAACTCACTCTCCTGTTAATCCCTGTGGAAATTTATTAGCGTTAGCACGACGTAGCCTTTTCACTCGCGTTCCTTGTGGAGAAGTCCTTGGGTTTCGTCCAGTTTTCTCTCCAAACACCCGAGTGTTTCTTTCTGACACAAATATTTTTTGACTAAATGAATAATGTTTACTCACTCTTAAGAAGAAAGTAGACATTTTCTTTAAATAATGCATGCTTTTTTAGTGCGTTGCTAAAACACCCACCCATCTGTCACTCTTGTTTACATCCTGTCACCAGGATTACCTCAGTGTCGTTACCTCTGGTCCCGTCGACCAGATCAGACGTGTCCTAAGTACCACCTGGGGTCAGTCACTGACCCGCAGCATCTCTCTGCTAATGAATGATTAATGACCGTCTTTTTAAAGAGGGAAATGATATCTGTGTATGGATTTATTCATTTATTGTGTCTGGATGTCATTTCCTTGTTTTCTGTTTCTGGTTTTTAACTTTAAATAAATCCTTTATTTTTGGTAACTGATAATTGGCTTCTGTGTAGCTTTTTGTGCTACACGTACTGCTAACTTTAAGCTACTTGGGGTTAGTTATAACTTTAAAGTTGGAGATGCTTTTAAGTTTTTGCTTTTATTACAAATATTATTTAATATAATTTGAAAGTCCTTTATTAAAGTAGAAAATCAATTGTCTCATAAATATTTGTTTGTGAGACATCAGTTTGATATTTTGACCAAATTTTTACTTCCTTTAACTAAGGCTCAGCAAAAACTTTACCTCTAACTGATATTTGTTCGGCTTTGAAAAATTTGACCTGGCAATTTCAAGATTTTCCACCGAGGTTGTTGAGGTTGTTTTGACTTCAAATCCGTCCCAAAAACTAGAGACGGACAAATAAACACAAACCTCAGACTTGGTGAACTTTGTCATATTGTCTCCAGATGACGTTTAAATCATAACCATATGCTGGGACCTCATATTTCTAAGAGAACTCTGCACGTGGTGGTGAACAAAGGTGGTGGGACCCACGCACACACACACACACACACACACACACACACACAGTCACACAGTCCCAGCCGATTGCCCAAGAAACACAGTTTGCTCTCGGGGTCAGTGGTAAACGTGAGTGGTCATGTTTTTACTGTATAATCAACAGATCGCACTGAGTTTCATTTATCCACACGTGAGGTCAGGGGTCAAAGGCCAACAACGGGTGTTTGTGTTTCACGTCGCTAAAAAGTAGAAACTCTTAAGTTTTCAGTGTGAAAAACTGTCTCTGCTTGGACTGTTTGTTGAGAATTCAACTTTTTTTTTGTGCCACATCAGGAAAAAAAACCCACGACACAACAACAAAGAAAAATCTCACAAAAAGTCAATGTAATAATGTTCTAGTTTAGCTGAAGTCAACGCTGATACGCTGGCAGGAATTAAAGAAAGACACGAACAAAGAGCTTTTAATTTTTTAAATTTTTATAGCCATCTGCTGCCACCAGAATTTTTTTTTTTCGCAATTAATAAGTAATAGTTTTTGGGACCAAGTGCAGGACACAAAAAGAGAAGAAAAAAAAAACATCTCTTCAAGTTTTTCCCCAACCCCAGGTTTTCCAAAACTTCATCTGGAGAAGAGTCAAGAGTCAGAAATAACGGTTCCTCCACGTTTGTCAGGACTTCAGGTGGTTCCACATTTTTCAGCCCACGGAGCAGATTTATTCTGCCAAAGTTCACGGGGTGAAGAGGAGCTGAGGTGAGTTAGAACCCGGGGGTGAGATCGGTGACAGAGGCTAAAGTCATTCATCAATGAGCGTGGAGCAGCGATTGATCACAGCGATCAGAACCATCCTGGACGTCAGGACGTCTCCTGTGGAAACGCTCCAAACTCTCACAGCTGGACGGTGAGTTTTTTTTTTTTATTTTCTTTCTGTCGTTGAAATGTTTTAAATGTTTTCTTTCTGTGTTGTCTGACAGTGGTGCAGTGGCAGGACTCACATCTGCCAGGCAGAAGGTTCCAGGTTTGATTCCCCCGTGGCCTCCAGTCCCATGTTGGGGAGCAGACGGTGTAAACTTCAGATGAGGAAAGTAATGAATTACATTTACTCACATTACTGTAATTAAGTAGATTTTGTAAGTAATTTTTAAGTAGTTTTGGGAATAGTTCATTTGACTTTTTCTTAAGAACATTTTCAATCAAGTATTTCACCTTTGAAAAATAACTTGTTATTAAGTAAAAAATTAATTGCAGGAAAAAAAAAAGAAGAAAATTGCGTGTACGACCTGTTATTGAGTAAAAAAATAATTGCAGGAAAAAAAAAGAAGAAAATTGCGTGTACGATCACACGCGTGCTTTTTCCCATGATTGTAATGTAGCCACAGAACGTTGATTAAGAGAGGATTTGATTTGAGAGAGTTGATTTGATGTTATCTTTGCAGGAGTAGCCGATGGCTTGCATGGTATTTTCCCTTATTGGAAAAAAAAAAAAAAGTTTGGAGGCCACAGTTATGTGTTTCTTAAAGCTTCAGTAGCAACACAGACTTTGGACATGTGAAAAAATCTGATACTTTTTCTCCAACTTTCTGATTTTCCCCCTGCAGCCCAGTGGTCGTTGACGCATGTGGATTGAGTTTCAGAACGTGGGCTGATTCACGGGGACAGGATAAGAATCAAGAAGGTCACACTCCTTTCATTTCCTCGCAGAAGGCAACGAGCACATCTTAGCAGAGTGGAAAACAAAAGGCTGCCACAGGGGAGATGGATGGCTGACGGTGAGTGTGTGTGTGTGTGTGTGTGTGTGTGTGTGTGATGAAAGCTGAGACAGAGCAGACCCTCCAAAAACCCCTGAAACGCCCCATTCCCTCATCCTGAATCTTTAAATGTTCTCCGTTCTTCTACAACAAACTGACTCGTTTTAGGGTCATTATACAACATCGGTAACTTATTCAACTTTAGGAAAAATCTTTTTTTTTTTTTTTATGAGCTGAGAGAAACACAAAAAGAAACAAAGCCACACGTGGATCTTTAACTGTAGCAGCGGCCAACGCTGTTCTGAATAGACTGAGATAATACAACATTACACAGCCAGGAAGTAGATAATAACATTTGAAAACCCTGCTGTGATAAATAAATAATAACAACAGTGAGGGGACAGCAGGGGCTTCATCATCTAAGGGTTTTTATTGATTAACTGGATTAGTCTCATGATTAAAATCACAACAGTAATTCCACATCAAACTCTAATCCAGCATGGTGGTATGTATGATTGTGTTTTTTCAGGATTTTTTTATTTGATCAGGTGGGTTTGCTGAAAACAATCTCTTGTTTGTGACAACAGCCCACCATGAGCTCAGAAAAGGCAACAGACGTGATGCTGAAGAAACATTTTCCCAATTGATTAAGTGAACATGTGATGGAAAATGTTATCAAAATTTTTCAACATCTGACCAAATATTATTGTGTCTGAATTATTGTTATTATTAATTAAATTTAAAAAAAATTATGAAAAATTTGAAAAGAAAAAAAAAAACTTTCTAAAAACATTTTTTTTTATTCTGAAGAAAAATATTTAGAATTTTTTTTTTCAAAAATGTATTCAAAAAAAAAAAAAAAAAATTCTAAAATTTTTCAAAAAATAATTTCCTGTAAGGTCAGTCTGTTTCCTGTTCCTGCTGTCTGCTGTGTGAGGTAAGCTGTGTTATCACACTCACCGTGTCTCTGTAATTAGTCTTTTAAAAAAAATACATTTTTCTAAAACTTTCCAAAGTGATTTTTACCTGCACCAGTCCTGCATTCGGGTCCTGCCTGCTTCCTACCATGTTGATGGCTCATCGTGACAAAGGCAATAGTAAGGCATGTTTTTGATGATATTTTGAAATATTCAGACAAAATTTTTTTTGGTGTTTTTAGCACAAATTATTCACTTGGCAGAATGTTTTAGGACATTCTAAAAATCTAAAATGCAAGAATTTTTTTTAATAAAAGTTTGTGTCAAACAGAACTTTTTGTGTCATTTTTGGTCAAAAACTAAAGTTTGACTAACATAGTTGTAAAGTTATTTTTTTAATTTTATCTTTTCCTGTATGTTTCTCATAAAATTAATGTATATACAGAACATTTTTAGAATTTTCTATAAAATTTTCTGTCAATGTGAACCTTTTGTGTCATCTTTGGTCAAAAACAAACATTTTGACACACTTATGTAAAATTATTATTTTTTATTTACTTCTTTTCTTGCATGTTTCTCATAAAATTAGGTTATTTAGTGAACATTTTTAGAAATTTATTTTTATAAAATTTTCTGTCAAATTAGTGTCATTTTTGGTCAAGAACTAAAGTTTTGATGGAAATTCTTGTAAAATTATTTTTTAAAATTGTATGATTTCCAGTATGCTTCTCCTGAAAATAAGTCATTTAGAAAGATTTTGACAAATTCTTTTAAAATTATCTTTCAAAATTTTATCTTTTCTTACGTGTTTCTGATAAAATTATGGCATTTATAAAACATTTTAAGAAATGTATTTTTATAAAATTTTCTATGAAAATGTCATTTTTGATCAAAAACATATTTTGTAGAAATTGTAATTTTGTTAATTTATTTTGGATTTTTTCACGATGGTAA